GTTGATTTTGCCGCTCCAAGTGCAAGCTTTGCCCCATCTCCAACTCCAACAATCCCCCTAACAATCATGAAACAATCAATATTATTTTAAATTTTTTTAAAAACACAAGAACCTGGTTTCTTGGCAAGAAACTGGTTTCTTGGCAACAAACCAGTTTCTTGCCAAGAAACTGGTTTCTTGCCAAGAAAGGCCAAGAAACTGAAGTTTCATGGCAATAAACCAGTTTCTGGACAAGAAACCAGTTTCTGGCAGGAGGTTAAATACTCTTTCTTGAGTAAACAACATAAACTCATTAGTTTCTTGAACCAAAAAACTGAAGTTTTTCCACGTAAACTACAAAACTTATTTTTGAGCAAAAAAACATCATACCTCGTTAGCGGTTTTCATCTAGTCGTGTTCCAAGAATAGCGCCTCAAAGAGGTAAGAGGTTTGTATGAAGATCTGTTTTCAAGTTAAAAAAACGAAGAAATGCATCAATTTACATTTAAAGATGACTACTTCTTCACGATAAACTCAAAACTGAAGACATTAATAGGGTGCCATACAACTGTATTTTGAGTTGGACAATCTGATTGTAGAAACCGATATTATTCAGAACAATTTAGCAGCACATATGCCACCCGACTGATAGAAGTAAAAGGAAAGATCTTACACTAACAAGTGCATGCTCAATGATGCATACTGAACAATGGTTCCTTCATGTCTCACAAAAACCATCATTATCCAGTAATTCAGAGTCCATAAAGAGAAAATGATAATTTTTCATACGCTAGAGCTCAAATAATTAAAAATCAGCAATTTCACTATAAAGTTACAGTCACAGTAATTCATAACACATTCATAAGAGGAGTACAATCCATAAAACAAGTAGTTCAGTTTTGAACTGGAAATGCAAACCAAACTAAAATTTCACAACAAATCCATAGACCTCGTAACCCTTTGCCACATGTTATAATGAATTCACATATCCTTTCAAAGACCAACATCCTCAACAAAATGAACACATCAATTTTCATTACAAGTTAATTGGTTTCATTAATTCACATACTCTTTCATTGACCAAATTGAGTTAATTACTGATTTTGAACAGAAGCATAACAAATTTCATAATTTACAGCCAACAATTTGCTAAAACCATCCCAAATAAAAAAATTATTCATCACACCGAATTTCCAATCGAAATGGGAAGGGCAAAAAACACATAGGCCGTTGAAGTGTTGAGCACATAAGATCCAAATAATAATTTCCAGTCAAATAAATACTTTCAACATTAGCCCCATTGAACACATAAGATCCAAAAAAACTATGCATTAATCCAAAAACAAAATCTCGAATCCTTTACCAATAATACTAAAAAACCCTAAAAATTTGAAGTTAAGGAACCGCACCTTGGGAAGAGCAGGGCAACGGAAATGAGAAGAGCAGTAGCCTGTGAGTCGCCGGAACCAGACAAGCAGTGGATTGTGAATCGCCGGAACGAGACGAGGAGCGGATTGTGAATCGCCGGAATGAGAAGAGCGCACCCGACGGACAGGGACTCGTCAGAAGAGATGAGCAGCAGTCGGTGAAATGAAAAAGCAATGAAAACCTTTGCACCACTCGACGAATCGCCGGAATGAGGGGGAAAATTTCAATTTTTTGCAATGGGTGAGAGAATGAATTTTTGCAGAGGGATGGCGGGCTGTTGGTAAAGAAATGAGGAAAAAAGTAATGGACGAAATGAGGAAAAATAATAGAAAAGAGAAAAAATGAAAAAGGTGTCCAAGGGCAATTATGTACTTTTACCTAGCAAAATGGTTAGATTTCATTTTTCTTATAAAGCTGGCTATATTTAATTTGTGCTTTCACTTAAGTGCTAAAAAGCACCATTACCACTTTCTTAAATACGTGCTTTTTATTGTTGTCCACTCCCTTTTTTTTCTTTTTTT